CAACCCAAGGAAAAGGGGCCGAAAACCCAAGAAGCAGCTAAAAGAGCAGAAGGTTGCGGGTCAGCATAAGGAGCTTGATGATGATGATCTTCCCAAGGATCCTCACCGGCGCCGAGTGCTTGAACGTAATCGCATTGCGGCGAACAAGTGTCGTCTCCGCAAGCGTGATGAAGCCTTAGCCCTCGCTTCTCGAGAAGAAACTATGGAGGACCAAAACCGCTATCTCATGACGTGTTTCGACTCTCTAGCCGTCGAAATTTACCACCTAAAGACCCAATTACTGCGACATACACAATGCAATTGCGTTCTCATCCAGAACTACATCGCGAATGAGGCGCAAAAGTGTGTGGATAGGCTAGTCGCTTGCTCTACTGCCTTTGATACCTATGGCAATTTGCTAAGGCCCTGCGATGGAAGCCCAAGTGATGCTAGCACCGCCAAAGAGTTGAATACGCAGAGTCTAAATGGAGGTGGCTTCCCGGCAACCCCGAGAATCTCTTCTCAGCAAGAATCTAGCATCTCGAAGGTTATAGATGTCATGTTCGATATGATGGGTTTAGGACCATTTCAAACGGCTACTATGCCGCCTGATTCGATGGCCCTTACCCAGCCAGTTCCACCATTATCCTTCACTGAATATGGACCAGGGTTATTCGTCTACGAGGGACCGTGAGAACACCAAGCGGATGAGGTTGCTTGGGACACATATTTGTATTTTTGACGCTAGTCGCTACCTCTGTCCCTTAATATTAGGAATACGGGATAAGAAACCACGTGAAGAGCTATTTATGATTCCGGTTAAGACAAAGTTGGTTTATAATGTCTCGTACCTCTATGAATATGGAGTTAGGGCGATGCTATCTAGTACCCGCACGCCAGGGAGTTGCAAACGGAAACGTAGAACAGAACTCGATGACAGCGAAACCGTAGAAAGATCCTGGAGAGGATAGATTACCGGCGATGGTCCGGAAACAGCTCTCGCCAGTGGCCAAAGATCGAGTCCACCTTTCTTCGGACCTCACTAGTGCACAGGGAGTTGCCCGATTAGTGAATAGTGCGAAGATTATCCTTTTCAAATGCCTGAAAGGGTGGTCGCCCCATCAAGACATGAAGACAGGATATCGTATATTGTTGGGACCTTCGGGATCCTCCACATGAATCACTTGAGAGGACGTAAGCGAGAATCAGTCAAAGAGACTTAGCTATGAAGGATAGGACGTCAAACACTTGGAGACCTTGGCGAGTCGCTGAAGGGTTAAAATTGGCTGAACCATTCGGTGTAAGAAGCTGTGGGGCTCTGAGCATCAGCACCAAATCGTCCGGACTGTGAAAAACATAATTACCACACTGTGCTTTGGGTCTAGAACCCCAAGGGGCGAAAAGATCTTCATTCCATGCATTGGTTCTCGCCTGAACTCGGTACTAAGCCATGCAGGATGCTGAGGTAATCCTCCCCTCACCTGTGACCAGTAACCTCATTCTGGACTCATCCGGACTTAGGAGTGTGTCGACATATTGACGAAATAAGATCCTAATACCAGAACATAACTCGCTAGTCTGGTGCCAGCGCGGGTTATAAAGTTTTATGATCCTAAAGGACACTATGCTATGCCGGAAGATCTTACCTATCTGTCTGTTAGGTGCCTGGTCAACCGCTTATCGGCATTTGGCCACCATTAAGCGATAGCAAAGGACATTATTGCGTCAACCTGGCGGTTTTATTGGCAAGAAATGGTCAGCGTAGCGCTCTGCTGTTATTAACAGGGTCAGTGGCTACGCTTTGAAGTGATTCTGTATATCGAAGCTAGTCAGTCAGTGGGAACAAATTGATCAGGATATATGATGAATATTGGGACGTAGGTGGCGAGGATCTAAAAAGAGCAGGTATATATGTAGAACATAGTCTATAAGTTGGAGAGAGGGTGGGGAGTTGACTGAAGAGGCGATTGTTGCGCGTTAACTCTTGCATCAGTGGCTAGAAAGAGCAAACCTCTGCTCCACAACGCTTCGAGCTCTGCATTACAAGAATGTGTCAGCCCTGCCATCGCTCCCTTACTCCCCAACATCGTCAAACTTTCCGGCACTCTCCGATATGCCATCAGGCCAAGAATGGTCGCATGATCCATGCCTCAGTTGCGGCACCCAGACAAAGGGAGAAACTTATTGCTCTAATTCTTGTCGGCTATCAGAATGCGAGAAGGTGCTGGCACCGACGCACTGTGCAAGCTGGCCTTCTATGCGGACCGCATCGTCCTCCTCGACATCGCCAGCCCACGAAGCCAAGTCATCGACCAAAGTAGAGAAGGAATTAAGAGTTTACAATATGTTATTGGACCAGTCGAAGATGCAGAGGAGATTGCATTAAAAAACCGAAATACCTCTACTTCGTTCGCGTGTCGCCTCAGGGGCTAGTAACAGGGGACACATCTCACGATAGTGCCACCATCAGCGCTCTCTGCGTGCCAACTTCATCAATCAACCACGCAATTACTGGTTATCTATATGTCTCTATTAAAACTATATGATTACGAAGGTCTAAGCTGCTGGTGGCTGGGATGTGGATACTATGTAGTTAAGCTGAGTTGTTCTCTCTCAGATAAGTAGAACTTAGACTTTTAATAACGTATGTGATAAGTGACCCAACCAGACAAGTGGCCCGACCAAAAATCCCTTAACCTACAACATTTCTATCTAGTTAAATAGTTCTCAACCGTCTAACATGTCACAATCTTCTAACGAAGCTAGAATTATTCTTGCACTTCAAGCCCTTCAAAATAACCCAAGCTTAAAGCTCGACTAACTGCAGAAGCCTACCAAGTTAGCTATAGTACTCTCCGCGATCGAAAGAATAGCATTCAATCACGACGCGATATTATCCCAAAGTCTCGCAGACTATCTGATCTGGAAGAACAGATAGTAGTTTAATTCATTCTCGACCTAGATTCGTGAGGATTTCCACCCTCCCCTTCCCCAACTGCAATTTGTTGAAGAAATGGCCAATCGACTGCTAGCTGACCGCGAAGCAAGACCTGTCGGCAAGCGCTGGGCTTATAACTTCGTCAAGCGACAACCAGAGCTTAAGACACGTTTTTCACGTAAATACGACTACCAGAGGGCCAAGCGCGAAGATCTAACTGTGATTAGGAAGTGGTTTACGCTTGCGTTAAATGGAATCGTGAAGTATGGTATTTGATTAGATGATATCTGGAACTTTGATGAGGTCGGCTTTATGATAGGCGTGATCTCAAGCGGTGTAGTTGTCACCGGCTCAGAGAGGCGTGGAAGACAGAAATCAGTCCAGCCTTGAAATCAGGAATGGGTTACAGCAATCCAAGCGATTAATGCAGAAGGTCAGGCAATCGAGCCATTTATCGTGGTTGCGGGCCAATATCACCTTGCCAATTGGTACCGAGAATGCGACCTCCCGGGCGATTGGGTTATTGCAAAGAGCCCAAATGACTGGACAGATAACGAGACGGGTCTCGAGTGGCTAGGGCACTTTGATCGGTCTACAACTAACCGATCAACTGGTCCCTATCGTCTTCTAATTCTTGATGGTCACGAAAGCCACCATTCCGCCGATTTTGAGAGATACTGCGAGGATAAAACCATTATCACGCTCTGTATGCCGGCTCATTCGTCTCATCTACTTTAACCTCTTGATGTTGGGTGCTTTGGGCCGCTGAAAAAGGCGTATGGTCGAGAAATAGAGCATCTGATCAGAAGGTCTATAACCCATATTTCTAAGACTGAGTTCCTCCGGGCCTTTTATGCCGCTTTTCAAGCTACTATGACCGAGAAGAATATCAAGGGAGCTTTTAAGGGAGCTATACCTGTTCCTTTTGATCCGGAAAGTGTGGTCTCAAAGCTTGATATGCAGGTGCGGACTCCAACGCCTTTCGAGGAGGAGGCTAGCCACCCTAACCCTTGGATTTCAAAGACTCCAAAGACCGTTCTTGAGGCTGAATCTCAGTCTAAATACCTTGAAAGACGAATCAGAAGGCATCAGAGTAGCTCCCCAGAGTCTATTCTAGATGCACTAAAGCCTCTTTCTAAAGGAACGAAGGCGGTTATGTATGAGATGGCATTGATGAGGTCTGAGATCCAAGACCTTCGACGGGCAAATGACACACTAAGCCGGCGCCGGAGGGCAAAAAGGACCCGCCTACAGAAAAGATGGAAGATGACTCTAGAGGGAGGTAGGGAAGCAATTGGCCAGAAGAATATTAATACGCAGGCAGTGGCCGAATCGTCGAGAAGTGGTAGTCAAAGAGGGTCGGCACAAATAAAGGAAAGGCATTGTGGAACATGCGGCAAGATAGGTCATAATACAAGAACATTCCAGATAGTTGTCGTTATATCTGGGGAAGAGTATAGCGATTAGTTTTAATTGATCGGATAATTTGTTGTGTTTTTATGGTGATGTCTATCTCAAAGGTTGAGATTTTTGGTCCACTCGCTTATCATGTACGTTATAATTTATTATTCAAGATTAAATAACTTGCTTGATTTAGCGATTTAGTCGCACGCGTAATAATGCCATTCTCTCGATTGAAGAGAGTACTATAATAGGCTTGATAGGGCTTTGCAGCGCGTCAGAAACTTCGTTTTGGGTCATTGCGATAAGCTTGAAGTGCAAGAAGGGTATTGGCCTCTCTATTTGACTGTCATATACCTGGTGGTTAAGAATCAATATAGAGACGCTGTTGGTTAGGGGGTTTTTGACCAGCAAGCTTATTTGACCGGCTTGCTTATCGTGTATGTTACCTTTTATACTAATTAAATGAATTTGAAAACCTTGGCCGTTTTTAGGCCGAGGGTAGATTTTTAAGAGTACTTTTAAAACCGCGATTTAAGACGTAAATCCTAGTGAGACACTCGCTTGTTATACACGTCATATATATCCTATCCTACCCTTTCCTAAGTAATTATTAATTACTTTTCTCACTTAGTCGCTCTCCCTCGACTATACATTATCTTAGACAGCTCAGCTCATACCACTATAAGTCAGGCGCAGTCGTGACAGTGCCCGCTGGCCGATGCATGCCTACATGTCCCTTCTCGGGGTGCGCGGCATTTCCATATGAGCCAACCCGGCCATACTGGGTAAAGCTTAGGTGTAAGCGACCGTAGTCCCACCTGCGTGCGAGGAAAAGGAAAGCGAACGCGGTTCCACACAGGAGGAGGAGGTCAAGGATGCCGAAGAAAATAAGGCTCCGAGTGACACTGATGACGTTGCCACCGTCCGAGACGGCAAAGGCAATCGGGTACAGGAGCCAGAGGAGATTGACAAAGCCAGCGAGCATGGTATAGTCGCGGTCGACGGACGAGCGGTCAGTAGAGGAGCGGCGAGCGGAGGAGCGGCTTGCCCATATGGTTTGAAAGGCGAGCAGGAGGTAGGCGACAGTGCCGAAGGCGTAGAATCCCCACTTATACCGGGTGGCCGTGTAGGCAGAGCAGAGATACGAGATGATCCTATTAAAATTAATCAGCTGGTCTATCCTTGAACGAATCCGTACATCAGAAATGCTTCACTTACCAAATCCAAGCTAGAAAGACGTTGAATAAGATGGTTGCCCAGCTTACGCCACTAATAAGCCCAAGAGCTATAATAATGATGGGGAAGGCGACGACCCAGAAAATGTATTTGGCAAAGAAGATCTGGTACGTTGCGGCATCTCTTGTGTAGAGTTGCGTTGGGATGACGGAATATGCGAGCCCGGAGGCCATGGCGAAGTAGGAGATAGCGCCGACGAACAGGGCGATGGAGAAGAGGTAATGGAAGATTTTCTCCCCGTGATGCGGCCGGAAGCTAAGGGCATAGTAGACGAGCTGTTGGACGTGTGGTTAGCTAGAAGTTTCTCGGCGGAAGAATTCACAGAGTTGACGAACGAAGGCGAGGGTGAAGCAAGCCATAACGGCCCAGAGCCAGTCGGAGCCTCCCTCGGAGAGGTGAGATTGGCCGCCCTGAGGGTTGACGTCGAGAGCGTCATTACGGGAGTAGATCAAGTCCATAGCTGCCATGGTAATGAAGTTACTCAATGTTGTCGTGAAGTTGGTATGGCCTTATTGGGGCCGTGTTAACCCGAATAAAATGATATCGGGTTTCGCGTAGGTTGTAAGTAGATGGGCATGCAAACGGGGGGAGATTGAGTGGAAGCGGATGATTCCAGCCCTTTTCTAATAAATCCAAGTCTCTCGTCGTAGCCTGCCCATCGACGTGGCATTTGCATCTGCCAAGATTAGACTTACATCGAGCACATGACATCTTCGTCATTAATTCGTGCGTAGCCGTCTGTCATAGGCAAACCCAGTCTATGACGTAGGCGGTGTCTTGCTGCTCCAACCAATGATTCACTTCACGGGGTGCGTATTGGTGATAATTCACGTGTCAAGTGTGGCTGGGGCGAAAAGGTTGGGTGTACAATGTCCCGCTACGTAAGAGTTATCACGATTTCGCCGCCTCTTACCTGGAGGAATTCGAGATGTGGCTTTCTGCCCCCGGAATGATGAATGGTTGATAACTGACAGTTTATTTCGAAAAATAAGTCGTCATTGTCACATGAACATAAGCTTAATATGACGCACGGCGGTTGAAGTCAGAAGCACGCAAACATTTAATGCGAGATTATGAATTTGAGTTCTATATGACATTAATAAATCTAATGTAACTGTAAGATTTTCTAAGTCAGTGAAAGTAGTAATAGTTAGGAGCTATTTATTAAGAAAGGCAAAATAGAGAGCGCTCTTTAAACTCAATAAATTACGTCTTCTAGTAGAAACGACACTATTAAAGGCAATTCCTCCTTGCCGTTGAGGCCTGCATGTACCCACTATAAACGCTGCACCTCGATTTGACCTTGCTTCTTTTGTGTTGACGGTAGGCAGGATAGTTAGATCCTGATAAGATGGTTAGCTTGCTTTTTATGTAGGTTAGAGACTTTAGAAACCCAGTTGCCCCTTTAGATGATGTAGGATGCCACGGAGCATTCTCTCCTTCATAAAGTCAATACTTGTCCTGACTAACAAGCCTCTGACGGTATTGCATATCCGATTTCTCCGTACCACAGCCCTTGCCTGATTAAGCTTTCTACTCACACTTCGGAACATCCCGTTGCCATACGACAAGATAGCGTCATGACTTGATACCGGGAACCTGCATGTGAACAAACATGATGCGATCGGCCACACAACAGTCGGCTTAGAATTAAGCGGTATGTCATATAACATTCAACATCTTCTCTCTACTGTTCTTCCTCATGTTAGTACGCTAATAGGCAATTTTACTTACTATACGAATTGAACACGATTTACCCAAGAAGTACTAACAAATACTTGCTATGGCGGTTGACAACGTCCCGGAGCTCCTTTACCACACTGTCCTCACGGTGATTGACTACCAAAAAGAACCTTCGGAGGCTACGCGCTCCGTCTACGTCCTCGGTACGCATAGCGCTCTCGAAGCCGCTAAAGCCTTCGCTATCTCAGCCCTTCAGGGACTCAACTATCAACCAGAGGATTTTATCGAATTCGCTGTCCGCTCATCCGAGCCGTGGGAGCACGATGATGGCCGCCTTGTTTTCGCCCGGACACCTGCCGGGCAGGTATTACTCATTGGAATTGACACCACCCTGAATATCGAGTCACTACTGGCAAGCCCGGACGGCGCCGTAGTCCTCCCTAATGGGTGTAACCGGCTGCACTACGTGCTGCAGACAATCGATAACAGCTTAGACCGCATGGGTTACGGGCAGCCAACCAAAATACAGGGCATATACGTCCACCGTGCTGATGCATGGGCGGCCCGGAGCAGTTCGTTAAGTGCGACATGTGTGGAAGTAAGGAGATCGCCGACAAGTGGCCGTTTGAGGAGGACATGGTGGTACACGCCATTATGGAGACGCGACAGAATTGCGTTGAGGCAGTAGGGACTATTCTCGAAGCACACGGGAGGCATAGAAACATAGTAATTCAGTGAGATAATTGATACGAGCAACCCGAGTTGGAATATAAGTCTTTATTCTATATTATATAATTTAATAGGTAAGAATATTATCGTTAATAATAAACTTACTTACCTAAATATACCTACTGACGTAGTCGCATTATCTTTGAGAACCAATATCCCTTTGAGTGCCACAGCCCTTCAGTAGGTATCTCGACCCACTTGACCCCACGTACAAGAAGGTGACAAAAGCTCCGCTGCAAACGCAGTTGAAAGGGCTGTCTTCGCCTGTAACTTGGCTACCTCTTTGGCGGTATAGCCATCTAATTCAGCAATTTCAATTGGCTGACAGCCCTCTAAAGCAGCTTGAGTACAAGTTGGCCTGTAGCGGCTGATTTACTTACTTTGATTGGTTATATACCCCTGTCGTGACCCCTCTGAAGGGCTGTGGCACTCAAAGGGATAGCTTTCCAAGAAATCCTTATAAATATCATCCTTCCATTATTCATGTCTGAAGGATAGCTATATATACACTCTATTCCTACCCATGCTAGAAGGAAAATCTAAAGTTGAGAGAGAATTTATCGGCGCTGGTCTCAGGATGTTAGTACTTCGTATTTTCGACGTAACCGTTCTCATATCTTAATAGGCTTTGACTTGGAATGGAACGTCCTAGCTCAATATCACCGGAGAAAACTCCGCGGAACTTTATAAGTAGACTTTGCTCCGGCATCTCTGACCCCCAGTAGCCACCAGAATCTCCCGTCACTGTCCAGATGTACCCACCATTGCCAGAACTTGTTTTAGTAGACGCATCACTATTACAGTCTAAGTGGTCTTAGGTTTGAGAGTTACCTAATTTCCTATTGGTTAAGTGATAAAGCATTAGATTTTTGTTTTATTTAACGTAGTTGATAAGCGATCCGACCGGATAAGTGATCCGACCACTGCACTGTATAGCTAAAAAATAGCTTACCCTATAGAAACTAAAACCTTAAATAAAATATGTAAAAATTTAATAAAAATAATTTATAAAATAGTATAATTAGCTTTATTAAATTACTATTTTTAAGTATTTTTAGCTATTTTATTTTATATAGAAAACCTTAAAATACAGTATATTTTACAGTGTAAATAGACTTTAAAGTTTATAGCTATATAGAATTTTTTTAAAAATCTAAGAAAATTAATATAGCTTTATTTAAGACATATATATAAGCTATTAAAATTATAGCTATTTTAGACTTAGTTTAAATCTTTAGAGAATTTTTTAAAACCTGGATTTAAGGTGGAAATAAAAGTGGTCGGATCACTTGTCCGGTCGGATCGCTTATCAACTACGTTACTTATTTAGTTAGTCTTTATTTTTAATATTGTGTAGGATAAGCGAGTGAAACACCCTACTTTCTACCTTAAAAGCTAATTTTTAAATACTTCTTAAAAAATCAATTTAGCTTTAAATTAACTAAAAGCTTTATATAAGGTAAATAACTATAATCTAACTTTATATCTTTTATATAAGAAATTTACCAAATTTACTTAGAGGGGTATTTAAAAAGTCTATTTGCACTATGATTTATAATGTATAATAAGGTTTTATATAGAAAGTAAAATAGCTAAAAGTCTATAAAAATAATATTTAAGTGTAAATAACTATACTATGCCTAGAAATACTTTTTTAGATTTTTAGCTATTTCATTAAAGCTTTAAGATACTCTAGGGTAAGCTATTTTTAGCTGCACAGTATGCTGTTTCGCTCGCTTATCTCGTACGTTATACTAAAGAAATCACTATTAAAATGTGATGGTTGTGTTTCCCAACGAGTGAACTAAACCGTTATAGGGTTTATGTTGGCAGGATCGTAGGGCGTGATGTCTGAGCGTAGCGAAGATGTCACGTCTCTTAATGGGCAAGTAAAGGCGTGTCAGACTTTATTGGCGTAAAGAAGTTTTATTGATAGCTGGTGAGCTAGAGTCTAGAAAAGTGCTAATGAGTGTGGTGTATATACTAGGTAGCTCACGAGGGAGTGTGTGAGTCCGATGATAATGACTCAATGGATTGGAAGTGAGTAACATGGTTCTGCTCATCTATGAACGTCTGAAGACCAAGGCTCATTTGCATGTTACGCCTCTGGACATTCTTAAGACGGTTGTCTTCTAAAATGGCCCATAATGGTTTTTGACAGGCCACGCAAAATAGTGGAATGCGTTTCATCCCAATTGGCGTCTGGCACAGAGTTGATGACGCACAGAACACTGATGTTGATGCCCCGAGGAGATCGGATAGGAACAGCAGCATAAAATCTGGCGACGCTGCCAGGACGACAATACGAGTGAAAGCGCGGGCCTGTGGCCAGGTCTTGGACAATGATAACCGGTAGCTCCGCGGAAACAGTTTCCTCGATTGACTCTTCAATGCCCCACGAGATCTTGCGTTAATTAGCACGCAACGTATAATCACAGACCCCATCACCGCGAGGAATAGATGTTCCACAGAGCCGAAATGCCTCGTTACTGCTGCTTTGAAATGGGTTGGGCACTATTGAAGCAAAAATGGGTTGATTGTGTTGTTAGTTCTAAGTTACATGTATCCGAGTGGAGCACAGCTCCTTACTTTGTATCCACACCCCAGCCACTAGCAGATCAGACCACCTTAGTCACACGGTCTCAACAAAGGCTACCTCGTCTTTGACCACGATGAGGAGTGGCGTGATCAGGGCTCCATCTACATTGATGCCCAAGCTGGTGGCATGCCCCAAATGATGTATGCGACTATTTTTCCCAGCGGCAACCCGACAGAGGGAGATATCAGACTCAGCATTCACGGTGTCACTGAGACTGACCCAAGTGTAAGCAGAGTTTGGATACGGAGATAAGGCTTGGAGGAGTGGAAAGGCGAATACGGAGTACTACGAGGGCGATCTCTTTGTGTGTAAGGTTGGACAGTGGCAGTTTTCCAGTGGCATCTTGCCGAGCTACGAGTCGGTCGATCTGGTTTGTGACTTTTCATGCTAGCAGGAGATTGAGGCGCGAGAAGTAGCCGTGTATGTAAAGATATTAAAATATTTTAATTATTACTGACTTTGGTCAATCTGACAAATTGAAACGGCAACCTTTCCCCACTCTGCTGGCACAGAGCTCATAGCTTGCTCTGGTCTGGAAACTTGCGCAGCATATCAGCCAACTTGTCCATAGGCGCGGCCATGAGACCCATGACAGTCTCGAACGGTGGCTTCTCGCCTGCCCTGGGATGGCTGCGTGTCGGCACAAATTTCTTTGTGTGGTCGAACCTTCTCGCCAAAAACTCCATCTCCTCACCCTGGGCCTTGAGCGACTGTTCAAGAGCCGGCAAATCAAGCTTCTCCTCCTCCTGGATGTGCTGCCAGAGCGGGGCCCAGAGTTCCTTGAGCTTCGGCACGTAGTCTGAATCCGTGGATTTCATGTTCTGGAATTCTTTGAGAAGTTCCTTGATCTAATTCAAAGTTCTAAATTTTTCTTGATCCATGGTTCATTCTGGGTCCTACCTTGTAGTGTTCCTGACGATCGCTGTCTGCCATCTCCTGACCCTTGGGGCCCATATACTTCTCAAAAGCAGGATAGACTACCAGCTCCTCGCTGATGGAGTGGCGCGCGAGTTCCCAGATGAACTGGTTCCCAAAGCGTTGCTGATGGTCATGGTCTGTAGAGTTTATGACCTCATTGTAGTAGTGTTCCAGCTCGCGGCGGCCCTGGATGATAGCATCTGAGATGGCCGATGATAACGCGGCGGTCTGGATTCGCATGAATCTCGGCGAAGCACGATGGACTTGCGGCCGGAGAAGGGTTCGGAGCTGGGGAGATACGAGGGCGCGCATGGACGACATTTTGAAGAGATGAATAGACTCGTTCGAAATACCACATTAACGTGGTTCTGATATTGGCTGCTCTACTCATGTACCCGTCTGGTCTTGCCAACATGACGCACGGATGATGAGCTACATGCTATCAGGGATGTCTCCGCAGCGACAGTTGACGCTCAACACAGCGATGGATGACGGACAGGGCGTAAAAAGAATGTTGTAGTGCTACCATTGGGATTTGAGGACCAGCCACTCACAGCAAGTCATTTTAATTGCTCTTATATCATTCGGCGTGGGCCGGATTGAAAGCTCCTGCCGCACCCAGGTCGACAGATCGGCGATGTTATATGCTCAGGGTACTGGGGCGAGGCATATAGGCACAGCTAGCTGTGCCAATAATATCTGTTATGTAAGAGGCATACGTGGCCTTATTTCAATCCCTTCAATTCAACGATCAACAGCTTCTGTGATACCAATTCGACTTACTGTGCCTTTCTTTATCTATAATGAACCCAATTGACGCTTCTCGTTACTTCCCTGATGACGCCCTTCCTCCTGAAGGCAAATTCCGCTCACGGAAGAAGCTTGTTACAGCAATCAATGCTTGGGCAGCGCCCCCAGGCTATGCATTCTCAGTCAAGAACTCTTGGAAGACCTCTAGTGGAAGAATTGAAGCTATCTACGTATGTAACCGTGGCACAAAGCCCCCTCGTAGCTCATAGAAACGGCTGCAAGAGACTGCAATACGTTATACAGGATGCACCTTATCTGTCATAGCGAAGGAAGTCTATGTAAGACTACATAGAGTCTAAGGCATCGTCCTGGGGCTGGTTTTGGTAAACACAATCACGAATCAAGTCCCAATGAAGCAGTACATACACAACATCGTCAGCTATCAAGCCTCGATACATCAAAAGTCCAACAATTCGCCAATGCTGGCGTTGCGCCAAAGGAGATTAGATCCTACTTACATATGAATTCAGATATGCTTGCTACGCAGCAGTATATCTACAATTGCATTGCACGGGGCAAATGAGAGCTTGCTAAAGGTCAAAGCAATATGTGTGCCCTTGCCGACGAGCTTAACAATGAGAGCTTCTGGAGTCAAATATGCCTTGACGAGAGTGGCAGAGTTACAGTAGTACTATTTGCACACCGAAGATCACTACAATACCTCAAATCATATCCTGAAGTGCTTCTATTGGACTGTACATACAAGACCAATAAGTACAAGACGCCTCTTCTTGTTATAGTCGGCATTGATGCTTGTCAACGATCCTTCTGTGTTGCATCTGCATCCCTTAGCGGCGAGAAAGAGAATGACTTCATCTGGGTCCTTGGGCAGTTACGGGGTATATATGAGCTTCATGGAGTAGCTCTTCCATCTGTGATACTTACAGATCGCTACCTTGCTTGTATGAATGCCGTTTCTTCTTGTTTCCCTGAGTCAACCTTATTGTTATGCTTATGGCATATTAACAGAGCAGTTTAGACATATTTTATGCTCGGATTTACTCAAGATAAGAACGATCCTTAAAGGCAGGAAAAGTGGAACGAGTTCTACGACTCCTGGCATAAAATCGTGGCCTCAATGGCTGCGGATATCTATAATGAGAGGCTTCAGAAGCAGGGCTGCCGTCAGATCAGATTAACAATCAGATATATCAATCAGATCAATCAATCCAAATTAGATACAGAATTTCATAAGATCAATCAACTCAGATACAAGCGTCTATACCCGGCGGGTTGATAAAAGTGGTTTTGCCCCCCCCCCCCCCCCCCCCCCTCTGAGGAGCTGGTGCCGTAACCTCTAAAACCATAACCAGATAACCTAACTTCAATATATCACAACGATCTCAATCCTTGACCGATTTTCTTTAAATTGCCGCTGTATCATTTCTCGCACCTTATTTCCCAATGAATTCAATTTCGGAGAAATCCCGCAAGAATGCGGCAGCTGGCGCCCGCGCTTGGCTTGCCCGCTCATCTATAACAAGGTCAACGCGTCATTGCCCCGCACCAGCCTCCCTCTCACAAAGTGATATCGCAGCCCAACGCCACGCAAACTGCCTCTTATGAAGCGATATATATATATCCTAAAAGCTGGGAAGCCGTTGCCGACGATAAAAGCGTCTATTTCTAAAGGAGGGCGCCCAATGGCGCTCACAAAGGCAGAAGAGCGCGCTCTCATTGAGTATCTTCGCAATGTTGAAACCAGCGCTTTCGCTGTGACCGAAGCTTGTATCCGCAACTATGCCAGCCTCATTCGCCAATTTCAACTAAAAGGACCAAAAACGAGGTTATCGCAAGCCTGGGTAGGGAATTTTAAGAAGAGGCACCCAGAATTACAGTGTAATCGTCCCAAAGTCAAGGAAATCCAACGAGCAAGCGCAGAGACCGATATCCCTCGCATGGAAGGCTGGTTTGGGGGTTATGAAGGCACAGTCATAAGAGAGGAAATTCGTCCTCAAAATCTATGAAATTTCGATGAATCCCCTATACAAATTGGCTGGATTGACAGCAACCTGAAGCTATTTTCAACTCGCAAGAAAAAAACACCAGGCCTGTTGCTTTTCAGCCGGGGAATAAGGAGTCAATGACCGCTGTGGATGCGATCAACGCCATAGGACAAGCAATTCCTTCTTTCCTAATCTTTGCGATGGAATCTCTGCTTGAAGAATATGCTTTTGCTGATATAGATGAAGATATTATCCTTACACATACGGAAACAGGATTTAATAACAGTCAGAGAGCTCTACAGTGGCTACAAAACTTGAATATATACTCCTTCGCAGAAAGCAGCGATTCCGATGACTTTACGATTGAGCAGTGGTTTGGGTACGGTCCTGAGATCACAAGGGAAACTTGGTCGCAAGAGATCGCCTTCCGGGCCTCCAAAAATTCCGAAAAAAGTCTCCCAATTAAGAGAAGGCTTCTTATGGATGGTTTCTCAGCTCATGAGGATCGCCCGTTCATTTGGTATTGTACAATGTTCGATATTATCCCTTATCAACTCCCTCGTCATACAAGTCATCTCCTTCAGCCTCTTGATGTTGGGGTCTATAAGCATGTCAAGCGCGCACAACGAAGTGCTTTATATGACTTTATTGGAGGCGGCGGACTTCAATTATCGAGATTTCAGTTCCTGGGTATGCGGAATCGTTTATACAAAGCTGCCTTTAGAGCCTGTTGTTATCAGTTTCTATACCGTGCGGACCGGAGAATTGTGCCAACCTAGAGATTCTGATGACGTACTACCAAGGCCTATTCGAGCGCATTTTAGGTACACACTGGCACTGTCCCACCGGAAATAATGACACGTCACTATACAAAGACGATGCCGCCGGCTAGGCGGCTTATTCCAAGGTCCCAAACAGCATGTGGTTTTTGAGCAATACTCCGGCGAAGCGGATGAGCAAAGCAGAGGCAAATGCACCTGTGGTTTCAGAGGCTCACTAAGATAGAATAGGCGACGGCTGGTCTTGCACGGAGGGTATTGGGTTCGGAGGGGGATCCACCTCGTCTCGATGAAGTGGCTGATCTAAGTTCATCTCTTTGTACAGTCGATGTCGTATTCTGGCTTGCTGATGATGCAAGTTCAATCGTCTATGACGGTGAGGCACGTCGTTCAATGCAAGTGGTGCCCTGGGACAAGATTGACAAACATTAATGAATTAAATCGGTGATTTAAAGTAGATGGGAGGAGAGCATATGCCAAGAAAATATGGTAAGGGGATGGGGCTGGTTATTTCAGGGACTGAAATATAAGCTGCCAAAGCTCTCTGCCGTCTCCGCCATGGCAGACCCCGCTCTAGTCGAATCTGCAATCTGTCATCATTCTGACGCATGTTGTCTTTTGCTCTCTTCGCTTATTCGGATAGAGAACAGCGGCTCCTCCCGGAATGCCTAGCTAGCAGCTCCATTTATAAAATCGAGCCATTGTCAGGTACTCAATTACAAGCTTAGAAGCTGCGGCCACCTTCAACACGCAAAATGTGGGGCATTTCCGTATTTCAAGACCTGTATTTCTCTCTGGTGTTGGCGTTTCGAGCTGGAAAAGAAAACAAGACACGAAGTGCTGTGAGTTACAAATCTAATATCACACCTCACAGCATCCTTGCTGACCGACGAAGAATCATGCTTATGTGTGCGTTGACTGTTACGACAACTTGCTATTGTCTGATTCTGTAGGGTTACTTTGTTCCCGAATGCGTCTATAAGTCGATGGCCGGTAACCAGAGCTTTAGGAATCCGTCTCCTCGTTCGAGCGGCCAGCCAGCGACAAGTAACGCAAATGTGAGCCCTCTGCTCATGAGAGGGCGAATTCTAGTCCCTAAAGGATTGTTTTTTCTTTCTTTTTCTTTTCTTTTTTAAAAAAAGAGAAAGAAAGAGAAGAAAAGAATGGAGGAAGGAAGACAAAAAGAAAGATAGTCGAACATGTGCAGAAGCATCAGCCCTCAATGGTCAAGCCATGATTCTCAATGGCCTCACGTTGAAAGCCACTTATGAAGACCATTCAGGAGCGTGATTGCTGGACAAGCGAATACGACATGGGAAGGCAGAGTACGTTGTAGAATTGAAGGGCCGGCCGGAGATGAAGAAGTCGCGGTAGAACGAAAGGACGATAAGCCGTGTACGAATCAGTGAGTCAGCCCGCTGGGCTGAAGACTTTCTCCAGTGGTAACTATTCATTAGAAGCTGTCCCTTATGCACTGTGTGCTGGCTTAATTGCCTCCAAGCGGCCTGTCAATGACTGAATTGTAGGATGCGACGTTTCGAGCTGAACGTTGACGACAAGTTTGCCCTCGAGCCTTGCAATGTGGCACACTCAGAAGAAAATATACCTGCTCGCAACCATCGAGAAATAAAGAGTGGAACAGTTGAACTGAATCAAAATCAATACGATTTTCCTCGCAGATTGTTTTAGTTCAAGACAGGAATGCTTCTATGATGTCTTGACAAATGAGAATGTGACAGCGAGAGTTGTTGGGAGATGCCGATATTTTTTTCCCCCATATGAGAGAGTGTATACATCTCTATCACTTCTCCCACTTTTGCTGAGAGTGGTTTGTACGCATAATCATTGGCTCACAATCGCTGTGGTTCCCCCACAATCCACTTTCACCAGAAAAAGGGCTCTCAATATGACACCCTTATTAGATTTAACGCGTCAAAATGGGATTCTGGCTTCCCAGTTGGCTGGCTTCCTTGTTATATCATTTTCTCTACGCGAATTCGTTTGAGTTTAAGTGGTTCTAACGAAGCTAACGCGTCCCCTGTATGGATTGACTGCAAGCCGTATGGACTTTAGTGCCTTTGGAAATTCTATCATCGCCATGCATCTTTAGTCACTTTCGAATATTCAGTCTCAATGATAACAATCAGTATTATTATAAAAACGCTGTTTGAAAACACTCAGACTGGCCCACTGAGGCCGCCGAACGGAGCGAGACGACTCTGTCTCTAACATACTCGCCGGCCCGAGCTGTGCGGTTGCTCGCTTTGCAATTATCTTTCTGCTGCTAGCCTAATCGAGACATGATGGACACTAGACACTACAGGCGATAGGTACTACGGAGTATTTAAGCGTGCCTATTTCATGTCAGACTTGGTGGCTCAGGTCACTCATAAAGAACTTGGAAGGTTAAAATCAATGCAACTTAAATGGCACGCTGATGGCTTACAAGAGGAGGTTGCAATAACCCAGTCAGCCCAGTGAAAACTTCCGGGTAATCACACCCACCACCGTGAGCAGCTCACCTATGGTGTGTGTCAAATTGTTGACACCGTCTAATTAAGATTGTCCGATGCTCTTCTCAGTCACATGTAACTTAGACCTTTTCGATAACACCTTCGATTCCCTCAGTATTGCTTTATCACAGATATTTCATATTGTATGTCAAATCCGGGATTTGATATTTTGTTTGATTTGAAGGGAGTTATTAGTACATTTGTTTTGATTTGTTTGATACTTTGCTTGGTTGGATTGGATTTATGAGCAGTACTGCATAAGTGGCGCATCGGTTGGTCACAATAAGCCACTCACGCAGGCGTTAAAGAAGCGCGAACCCCTCGATGATATCTTGAAACGTGGCGTAATCGTTAGTACTGACGATATCTATTTTCTGACGTCAGTGAGCGTGCATCATACTGTTACATTGTTACGAGCAGCTATTGTTTAACAGCTTACGATGTAAATAGCGTACTACCTAGTGAGGAAATCGGGATTATCCTTGAGCTACTCACATATCAAATTACGCGTCACTTATAACGACCTCTAGTCCTGGCAGTTCCTGCCCGAGAAGCGCCTTTATTTCGAGAACTTCCATCATGGCTTCATCAAAGTCCAGAAAGAGCTGTGCGATGTCGTGGGCGTGACGTTTGCGACTAACTCGAACTCTTCAAAAATGTAGCTCCGGGGCCCCTTAGCCGCATCCCTAATGGCGCTTGGGGCTTTCCTACCGATAAAGGTTAATTCACCTACGGGAAGGTTATTCTGCGGCAAGACCGTCGCGGTCCGTGCTTCATTTTATATACACGCACCATGGTTATTTCAGCGTGAACACACACAGACATAGTAGAATAAATCCCAGACTCTCAGATTATTCCTAAGGATTTTAGATATGCCCCCATAAATCCGGGAGCAACCGAATCGCGACGTTATAGACCTAGATGATGGCATTGGGGCTTGCATAATAGGCGTTAAACGGCGTCGGCTGCGCAGTTTGCATAGATTTAGCATGTAACCCTCTCGAGCCTCCTACCTGTTGCTAACCAAACATGAGCCAGGACGCAGGGAGCTCTCCACATGCACGATTTAGTCAACAAGGTGTCAGGCATACGGCTTTGCAACGACATGACATGACAATGGCGAACTTTCTGAAACCAGCGCCTACCACAGCAAATAGCTGGACGTTTGAGATTGGTTCAGCATCTTGGCTTGGTTCATCAGAACAAGCCTCCTACCACCGTGTAGACACAATATTACAGTGCAGCCGGCTCCATACGGCAAAATCATTTGTCCACGTTTAGCGTAAATGGCCACCCGCCAATTGAACGCAAGAATTGCCGAACTAATACAGCCAAACCAATCGCACCCACAACGGCACGAGCTGGCGGATTTTGCCATCAGAATGATATCCACTACAGCTGTTGGGTCGTTGATTAATTTATAGATAGTATTTTAACCCTTCCGGCTGTGCTGCGTTGAAGGCTTTACTAGGAAGATTTCATACCCTGGCCCTGCGGATCCTTGATCTCATTCTTTTTGATCCATTTTGCACCTTTCTTCTTCGTTCCGTTAAAGAATCAACATACAACTAAGCTATCTTTGATAGATGGTATTTTCCCTACGATGACCAGCCCCTGTGCGAGTTACTATGTAAGCTTCCATACTTGACTCAAAGTCTAGAGTATTGACCACGAACAGGGCTCTGCCAAGTGCCGCAATAGTGTCCTGATATTTGGTGCCCGGTGCGATTTCTGTTTGGTGCAGTCTTCCTAGACGCAATTGTGTCGTTCCCACGCTAACCCCAAATATGACACTAGACCGCAGGTGCTGGGATGCCTATGAACAACTTGCTGCCTCACCCCTCGACTCCATCCAGCGAATATGCAAACCCCATGAATGAGAACGTACAGACCAATAAGGCAGCTGCTAGTAAGGATGGTATGGCATACTGGAAGAGAGCCTATGCTGCTCCTTGGTCCGTTCAGAAACTTGTTTATCCGGATGAATTGGGGATTCTGAGACAACAATGATAGCATGTTCTTTCTTTCTGATATTTAGTGCTAGCAACAACCACTACCATCGCACTTCCCACAATAGGTCCCGAGCAATCCCATCCACTTAAAGCCTTTGAGGTATCATCTTGCTAGGTAGCCTCGATCGACGTCTAATGAGGGGAAATATTAGAATTGGCTGGGCAGCGGCCATTGAATCAGGCGGCATGGCGGCCGTTTGACATGGTCCTAAATCCATTAAACATGTCTTCGCTAATCTCCGACACCTTAGATCCTTACTGAAAAGGGTTCGTCCCTAACTGTGGAAGGTTGTCTGCTTTCAGACGCTGCATAATCAACCAATCGGCGGTGCTGGTAACACTTAAGGTCCCATAATCCATCCGCGGCGAACTGTCGTGGGTATAATAGGCTGGAGAACAAGCAAGCAGTCCAAGCACAGATTTATTCACCTAATTGATGATGGACTCCTGGATGAGAACATACTTGCAGTTTATAATGCGGCTGTGACGGGGTCCTCAGGCAGTAAACGGTGGCAGTCTACAATTTGAAACAGGAGGAGATGGCCCCCCTCAACTAGCGTTGCTCTTGTACTTCAAAGTAGCGAGACTAGCTTACGAGGCAAATAACCGTATGCTGATAGCATTCTCCAAGACGCCTTTTTTGTTTTTCTTTCTTTTTTACCTGCTGCAACTAATGACATGGTTTTCTATTACCTTCTTGCTTGTGATATGATAATACCATTAACACGACATAGCACGGCGATGCTACGTCATACATTTCCTTAACCCAAGTAAATTAAATTATTATCCACTAAAAAGGTTTCGTTAATGACGTCAAACTAGAGCTTCACATAAGTATTAATTATTCATAGTTTTGATAAACGCAACGGTTAACTTACTAGTGTACATTTATGACGTCAGACGTCACTAGTGCGCCATGAGAAATCTCAAGATTTATTTATAAATGCGGCATGACGCCCTGTTATTACCAGGCCCATGCACCTTAATAGCTTTCTTTACAAATTTAGATAATTCTGCTACAATGTTGAGTGTTTCGGCTTTCTTCCACAACGTCCTCAACTATTTACTTTCATGGGTACATCCAGTATGATAATCTTATTGAATAGAATAAGAGCATTACCATCCAGGACCACCTAATGGATAACCCCACCCAATGGATAACCAAAATTTTGCTCCATCCATACAAAATCCAAATTTTCAATTACACCGTATTCGGCCAGGAATGAAGATACTTGCAAAGTAAGACCTGTACTATATTGCTTTTTTCGTAGAATTTTCATGTCGGTTTAAATTTTCCCCGTTCCGCCTCGTGACCTGGTTCCATAGCCCTTTGAATTCTTTTGCATTTCACCTCATGTACCATATGCGACTCCATCTACTCAAGCTGAGTTTTCACCTAATTTACTCGACGGAACTCCCTCCGCAATGGTTCGTCGTAACTATACCGAAGATGACGTAGCTGAGGCTATATTAGATATCACTGATAGAGGCCTCTCACAGAATGAGGCGTCCCAGAAACGTGGAGTGCCTCAGTCGACCCTTTCTGGTCGACTTTCTGGTCAAGCGAGCAGGAATGAACGTATCCAGGCCCACCAGCGTATTTCTAAGACCCAGGAGGAGACCCTCATTCGTTGGGTGTTGCGACAAGAGTCTTTGGGCTATGCTCTCTCGCACAGCCAGCTCCGTGCCTGTGTCGAGGCCATCCTCAAACAACAAGGCGATAACAAGCCTCTGGGCAAGCACTGGACCACCAGGTTCGTCAAGCGTCACCTACAACTATCTACCAAGCTTGGGAAACGCCAGGAAGCCGCCAGATTTGACGGATTTACTCCGAAGGCGGTCAATTGGTACTTCGATATTCGGGAGACGGAATACGGCTGGATCAAGCCTGAGAACACGGTTAATGTGGACGAGGGCGGCATAATGGCGGGTTTCGGTAAGTCTTCTATAGGTACTCTATGGGTTTCCATAGGCCATAACTAATTTGTTGTCCATGAGGCTTGGACAGCCTCGTAATCGGGAGCTCTGACCCGAAGAAGAAGGCGATGTTAAAAGGCGTCCAGTCTCGCACTTGGACCTCGTTTATTGAGGCTGTCACCGCAACTGGTCGCGCTTTAAAACCGGGAATTATTTTTAAAGGAAAGGAGCTACAGAAGCAGTGGTTTCTTAACGAATTTGAATTGATAGCGGACTAGCACTACATCACATCACCGAACGGCTGGACCGACAACCATATAGCTCTCGAGTGGTTGAAAGACGTCTATCTACCTCAAACAGAGCCTCGTGATGCATCGGATGCGAGACTCATTATCCTTGACGGGCACGGAAGCCATGCACAGGTGAATCTTTCGGGGTTTTCACCGCAAAGTCTCCCGCTATAAGATCGCTGACGAGCATTCAGGATGAGTGGATGGCTACGTGCTTTCTGAACAACGTCTACTGCTGTTACCTACCAGCACATTGTTCCCATGGTTTACAACCGTTAGATAATGGAATTTTTAATGTCATCAAAGGAGCGTATCGGAAAGAACTCCAAAAACTGGCTAGTTTGACCGATTCTGCGCCGGTTGACAAAGTCAACTTTATTCGGGCATACGCGAAAGCCAGAGAGGCGGGCATGAGGAAGCAGATTATCTTATCCGGCTGGAGATTTACTGGAAATTGGCCTATAAATCGTCATAAGGCTCTAACACATCCTGAAATTCAACCGGACAAAGAAAAAGTGGTGGAACGGTTCAAGACGCCGAGCCCTCCTCAGTTGCACTCAGATGATACGCCGAAAACGAGCCGCCAGGTGAGAGATTTGGCCAAACACCGCAGTCGCCCGACCAGGCAGAAGTACAGTAAGATTGCAAAGGGGTTGGAAGCTTTAGAAATGAAGGTGGCCGTTCAGAATGCGCGGATTACTGGCCTCGAGGAGCAGATGGCCCAGGTGCAGCGAGGGAAGAAAAGAAAGGCGGTACCAAACCCGAACCGACGATTCATGGCTGTGGCGGAGGCTCTAACGGCTGGAGAAGTTCTTCTTGGCTCAAAGGAGGTAGAAATAGAGGTGGATGTGGACGAGGAGGTCGAGTCGGTGATTGAGGTGGGTGTAAGGTCAGAGGACGAAAGTGATGACTTTATGGTCGTAACAAAGCACTGCCAGCGCACACGCAGCGGTCGGGAGGTTAAAAAACCACGCAGAGAGTAAAAATTGATCAATTTTATAAAGTTTCTCTCTAAAGCTTCGCTTTTTAATTGACGACCTCGTGTTTTGCGCATGCATTAAAATTTGGATTTTGTGTGGGCGGAGCGAAATTTTGGTTATCCATTAGGTGGGGTTATCCATTAGGTGGTCCTGGATGGTATAGTTAGCGCGCTAATCCCGTAACAGAACGCCCACTGGGGATGGTTGTCTTGCAATCGAAAAGTGAGTTGTCCGTGATCTCCTATCTTGCACACTTTCTTACATACTGTCGCAGACTGGGCAACTCGAGCGGGAGATAATCCTGCTCGGCAAGAAACTCAAGCTCCTCTTCCTGTTCAACCATATCATTGAATGGATCGATACGACACACGCCATGCGACTTTATATGCACAATAAGTCCCTAGAAAAGGGTATGTCTTGGGGTCAGGGCTGCACGTGGAAGATATTAACACGCGAATAGGTAAGAAAGAGGCATCTCCAGCATCCAAGGAGCAAATTAGCAAATTCGTTGATTATTATGGTATCAACATGAATGACTTTGACCCTTCGGGTATTAATGAGTATAACACATTCGAAGACTTCTTCGCCCGAGCGCATAAAGCCGGCTCAAGGCCGATCCACCGGCCTGATGATGCATTAACCGCGGTCGTTGTGGCCGATTCAAGAGTTGTCACGTACGAATCAGTTGCAGAAGCAAAGAAGATTTGGATTAAAGGCCATGATTTTAGCATTACCAATCTCGTCATGGACACACAACTCGGTTCAAAGTACGAAAACGCAGCCGTTGCCAGCTTTCGTCTATCACCACAAGACTATCATCGATACCACTCAGCTGTGACCGGCAAAATCAAATTATTTCGGAGTATTCCCGGCGACTATTATCAAGTCGATCCTGTTGCTTTACAGAGTCAAGTAGATATCTTAACGAGAAATAGAAGGGCGTATGTCATCATCGAGACGGCTGAATTTGGCGATGTCTTGTTTGTCGCCATCGGAGCAACGAATGTGGGATCAGTCGTGTAAGTGCAATTATGCTCCCGAGGCATGTATAGTTCGCGTTCTGACCATATGCAGCATACACGAGCAATTTCAGAAAAGTGGCGTACAGGTCAATAAGGGTGATGAGCTGGGACATTTTGAGTTTGGCGGCTCTTCCATTATTGTCACATTCCAAGTGGAGAGGATTAAATTTGACAACGATCTGTTGCAGTTAAGCAAGCAGCGTATTCAAGTCTCGGTCGAGGTTGGTATGAGCTTGGGTCGTGCAACCCGTTCAACCCGGCGAGGCGAGATGTCTCCCGAACCTACGTATGCTGAAGTTGCAGATCCAAATGCATAATTCAATCTTATCTTCAGGGTGTCCACCAATTGATATAAGTTGCATGTATAGATGGAGGGGCCGATCGGAGCGAACAAATAGTATATTAAGGAGAAAAGAAATTTATTCAGGGGTAAACCCACTCAGTTATTCAACCACCAACCAATCTGTCTTCAGTACTGTTGAAAATACGAGAGATCATTCAAAGAGCCCATGACTCTAGATGGCCTGCAAAATGTATGGGACCTGTACTTTGCGTCGAGGAATAGCCCTTTGCTGGTCTGTGTCAGCGGAACCCATCTACCGACTGGGTAACCCCCAAGGCCGCTTCGGCTATGCAGATGATACATCTATCTTATCTATAGGCGATACAGTAGACGAGACGACCGCTGCGGCATCTGAGTCCATCAAGGATATGGTGCGTTGGGGCGCGACAAACGGCGTCTCCTTCGACACGAAGAAGACCGATGTCATGCACTTCTCTCGCAGTAAACTGAGGACCACCCCGCCGGTATGTCACGGTGACGTCGAGAAACATCCCAAGTCAGCTCTGCGCTGGCTTGATAGCAGGCTATCGTTCAGAATCCATGTAGAGAAGTGGGCGGCGAAAGCGAAGGCAGTGGCCTACCACCTGCGAGGACTAACCAATACGAAACACGGTCCGCTGCCGGGTGCTATCCGAAACGCCGTCAAGGTGTCAGTCGAGCCAGTCCTGCTCTACGGTTCCGAAGCGTGGTACCAGGGCATGACAAGGCCACGATGAAGCCAGCCTACCAGAGACCCGCCATGGAGCAACCAGCATCTCATACAGAGAATGAACAAGGCCTTGAACCAGTCCATGAGAGCTACACTGCCCCTCTGGAAGACGACACCCACCGCCACCCTCCACCGGGAAAGTGGGATACTGCCAGTTACCCAGGTCCTCGAAGCGCGGCGACTCAGGTTCTCCGCACGACTCAAGTCGCTTGACGAGCCATCCTCTTGCGAGTCGAACGCTACCACCCAGTCAGCCCCACTTACCACGATCTCATCAAACGAAGATATCAAATACAGATAGAAAGCAGCTTTAGAACACGTCTTCGACGGATTAGGTCGCCTCGGACCAGTTGAGGTCTTCGATGCCGAAGCTAGAGGGGCGTTAGAAGGCCTAAAGGCCGCCCTAAACCTACAAGAATCAGTATCGTGAAACATCATAAACTGCCTAGACAACCTCGCGGCCGCTACATGCCTTCGAGGCACACCGTCTGTCTCGTCTCAAGACGTCTTCCTTGAGTTTCAGGCTTTAACAGCATCGCATGGAGCCAGACAGGTAGGCTGGGTGCCAAGACACAACGACATCCCTGGCAACGAAGAGGCCGATAAACTGGCCAAAGCAGCATCATCGCTCCCCGAACCCGAAGGGGCTCAGCTAACGCTAGCATACTTGCGAAGGATCGTAAGACAAAAGCCGAAAGAAGCATTCGAGACCTGATCGTCCGCCGCCGCTCCTGAGCAGTATAGGAGACTCAATCTCAAGGCGACCAGAGGCTCTCCGCAGGAGTGAGAGTTTTGGCGAACAGCCTTGCACCAACTGCTGGCAGCGAGATCCCTCCACGGTGATTTCGCCGCATATCACGAGGGATTCGACCATGGCGATGCACGCCTGGTCTGTTCATGCAACCGACGCAAAGCACCGGATCATATCTTCTATTGCCGAAAGGTGCTGCCGCCTCATAGGATTAGGCTCGCCCCTCACTAAATGCAGCCGTCAACCTAGCAATAGGAAAAGACTTCGACAGGTTCGTCGAGCTGTCCAAGATAAGCGCCTTCTTCGACAAGATCTGCCCCCGCCACTAGACGAGACCAACTCAGGACGCACTCGCACCTCTCCTCCTTTCCTTCCCCTTCATACTGTTTTCTTTTGTCTGATCTTCTTACTATTTCAAGGCTCGGCTAGATGAAGGGCGCTGACACACCCTTTATATTGCCGTAACCACTCGAGGGCAGTCCCGAGCTGCCGCGCCCACAGGCCCACCACAGCGTCTCTGACAACAGGCTTGTCTTGCAGCTGCTGTTCCCAGCTGCGCCTGGTCCTCCCGCTGACGGTCAACAGGCTCTATACGATGCGCCGTCTGTACCAATGATATGCTGGATAGTGTGATCTGTTGACGCTTTTGCAGAAACTGCATCTCGATAGGGAAGTCTAATTTCGCGTCGCGAATGACCAATCCTGCCAAAGCCAATAGTATTTTGTAATTAGTGCGTAGATAGATTGCCTTAGCTCAGCACATCCTTTGCCAGGTTGGACTCCCACCAGGATCGCCTTTGTCACCGTTGCTGTTCCTGTTCTTTAATGCAGATCTCATTGAGCATAAAATCGACTTAAAACGCGGGTCAATCGTGTTCATCGACGATTACTCGGCCTGGGTGACGGCCCCGACAGCAGAAGCAAACCGAGCAGGCATTCAGGCCGTCATCGACAGAGCACCGGAGTGGGAGACACGAAGCGGAGCGACGTTTGAGGAGGATAAGACGGTCATCATCCACTTCACGCGCCGTCCCGAACGCACTGATGAAAGCCCGTATACGATCAAAGGCCAAACAATCATTCTGAAGAAAAGTGGCAAGATCCAGGGACTGGTGATGGATTCGGAGTTGCGGTATGAGGAACACATGAAGGAAGCAGCCACACGAGGCCTCCGAGCGGCCATGTGCCTACGAAGGCTGAAGATGTTGACGCCCCGGACGGCGAGACAGTTGTTTTTAGCAACGGTGGCCCCAACAATGGGCTATGCTTCGAACGTGTAGCCCCACAGACGCGGGTGGATGGAGACCAGGTGGCGGAACGAAGCACAGAAGATAGGAGCGCAAGCCATCACAGGAACCTTCAAGACAGTGTCGATGGCTTTGGCAGAAGCTGAAGCTGACATTCTACCTATCGGTGAACCCACTCGCAGGCCGGTATACAGCTCTACGTCAATATGCAAACGCTAACGGAGACACATCCGCTTGCGGCACTCAGGGTGAGGGAGACACAGAGGTATCTGTCGCCATTGACGAAGCTAGCGCTCGCCCACGATGGCGCAGTAGAGCGGATGGAAACGATCGAGCCGTATGCACTATCACCGTGGCATAGGAAAATGATGGTGGAGTATGACTCAGGCAAGGACGCAGTGGCAGACGCAGGCATAAACGACGACGCGACCGATGCCACAAGCGCGAAACAAGTGCTCATTGCGACAAGCGCATCAGCAAGAAACGGCATAGTAGGTATGGGCGGCGTCGTGCGCAACGCCGCCGGCGCAGGAGCACCATGATAGTATCATAGCAAAGTACTCCATCACTCTTGCTCGAAGAGACCAACAGAACGCATACACGGCCGAGCTGGAAGCGGTGGCAGTGGTCCTCAGATGCATGCCTTATGGACTCTGATATCGAGATATGATCGTTGTAACACGAAATCGGTCGGCACTACAAGCGATCGCGATACCTCGACGGCAGTCAGGACAAGACACCATCCGGGAGATCTACCAACGTGTCGATCGACTCGAAAAAGGCGGTAGCACTATTAAGATGCGCTGGGTATCGTCTACAAACGAGCCTTTCACACTTGGAGTAAAAGCGAAGGTGGAAGCACGAAAAGCTGCAGACAGCGGATGCAAAGTAACAAACCCGCTGATACAGGCCCGATCGACCCGGCTAAGAGTACTGTTAGCACAACGCCGACAGCGCATGACACTACCTGAGGGGGTAGGTGGCTACTCGAAGCAGCTCGACAAAGCGCTGTCAGGCAAGCACACGACGATACTGTATGATTCTCTAAAGAGGCGCGAATCCGACATTCTGGTACAGCGGCGAACGGGGATGGCGGGGGTCAACAAGTATCTACACAGGATAGGCGCAACTGAGACAGATACGTGCGACTGCGGTCAAGAAGAAGAAACGGTCGACCACTTCCTCTTCCGATGCCCACGATAGGACAAGCAACGAGAACACATGCGAAACGTCAATCAAGCAATGATAGACAATCTATCTGTCTTTTTAGGAGGCAGACGGAGACAAGTGGAGCCCGAACTTGGGAGCGGTGCGAGCAGCGATCAAGTTTGTGGCAAGCAAGGGTCGTTTGAATACTACACAGACGTAAAAGCATACAAGACATACTGACAAACTAAACAATACAACAAGAACTAATATGAGATAGCCTCAGATAGACAGACCAGGCTTCAGCTACTGGAGATGGGATGCTAAACACTTGAAAAAATATGCCTTCAAGCAGGCCTGGCGCAAGGACAAGCGAGGCTGGTAAGAATAGCAAGATGTAAGTGTTGGCGAAGTCGAAGGGGGGTGAGTTATGGGACCAGAAGTGGGGAAAAAGAATGTAACGAAATCCAACGTCTTGGGCCCTATGAGGCGTATCCTCCTGGGCGTAATAAATTCATTCATTCATTTATTAAGGTCATTTAAACGACTACAACCGCGTAGGATATAATCAAATCAAATCAAATCAAATCAAATCGAGGAACTTTCCGATCATTTCCTGAACCAAAATGAGAGAGGTTGTTTCCTCTTCTCTCTTCTGATTGTAACCCTATTAGAGGGAGCAGGTGGAGGTCAAAGCGCGAGAAAACGAAAGTTCACGCTATGTTTCAGAGAGCTGGTAGCTCACAGTTGGGACGCTGGGAATTATCAAAGCTACGAGAGTATGACATCATCGGTCAATCAGCGCCGTTCTACCAATGCCGACAGCTTTCTGGTGTCCTCTGTGGCCTGGGAGGGGGCTTGTTGCTGGGTTGTTGCACTGCAGCATACGGATAGAGCGGTTGCAGAGGTTTTTGCGCAGCTAGGGTCCTCCTTGTCGCGAGGACTATGACGAGGTGACAAGCTTTCTTGTGCGACAGGGTTAAATACATGTTAAAGGGAATTCGTTTTCTAGGGAACCCTATGACCGCCCGTTCTCTTACAACGCCACGCGAAAACGGGGGCGTGTGTCTCGCTAAACACCTTTACCTGACGCCTGGCGGAGCACTCATCGTATCCTGGGGTACAGGGGGACTCCCGCACTCTTCTCCCTGCCCAATGGTACCCTGTATCTTGCGCCCCGGGCTGCTTCACTTTATATTACTTTTCACTGGGCAGTGCAAGCACCAGACTGGCCAGGAATTTAAGAAGGGTATCGACCT